TTCTTCAAAATAATGATTCAAACCAGAATAACTAATAGCCCGTTCAGATGCTTAAGTTGAACTGGTTTAAAAACCCCAGGGATCTTTAAACCAGTTTAACTTAAACATCTGAATGCAAATGTGGGGCAAATAAACCTGTCTTCGAGAAGGCTTTTTATTTTAAACTAGTTCATCTTAGCCGTCTGAACGGGTTGGCTTAAAAACCCCGGCTCCAACCTGCTTTGAGCATGCGCAGTACGCAGTAACTTACATTCCTGTGAAAATATCGAGGTCAGACAGTGCCAATGTTATCGAAAGCGTGCGAGAACCGAATAAAGAATATGAAGCTACACATGCGTAGTTAACACTAACCTCCGACCGAAGAGGTCAGAATAGTTAAACTGGTTTGGCTTATAGTACGTGTGAACGCAACACGATGCTGTTTTAAAAACCCCAGCGAATATGAACTGGTTTAAAAAAAAGCGTCTGAACGGGCTATAACTAAGTGTAAAAAGCTAGTTTACCATACAATGATATTCTAAAAAGGTCAACATTGTTGTTGAATATAATGATTTTGCAATAGTCGGCACACAGGAATGTTTGTATAAGATTGTGTAATGTTGACTTCAAAATACAGATTCAGTTAGACAGAAAGAAATGGGGTTTAATCCACAGACACAAACTAGGGCATTTTGAGACTAACATGGCACAATAACTTGCTTGCACATAGAGGTTTTCGGGAGTGAAATGAAATGGAGTTTAACGTCCTACTGTTCTGCTCCTAACCTGGGCTAATGAAGACGGGCATACGCCATACAGTGTGCTATGAGGGAAATTTTGCCCGGACAGCGGCACTACGGCCTACTCTTATATCGAATTCCAACTGCCAAGGGATCTTTTACGTGCACACCAATGTGTACACGGGACCTCGGTTTTTCGTCCCATCCGAACGACTAGACAGCTTTCCTTGTCAGCCCCTCCGTCCTGCATCACTGACAAGGGAGAACCACGCCGGAAAATCTGGGTGAACTTTCTCGGCCAATGCAGGGATCGAACACCCGACCTTCAGGCTAGCGAGGTAGCGTCTCAACCACTTAGCCACGTGATCCCCCTTTTCGGGAGTGGAAGAAAACCAAAGGACCCAAACAAAACCTGGCAGGTGACCCTACTCTTTGTTACATACAGGCATGGGATTGAAACCATGCCACTTGACTCAATGACAGACCTTATGATTTAAAATGCACGCATTAGACCACTCGACCACCCAAACTCCCCAATCTATTTCAGATGGTGCGCTATATAGTGGAGATGGTTTGTTTAGGTTTCGATTCACCCCATGACACAAACTACAGAGTAATTATGTCAAAAGGGAAGTATGAGGCATTAAACAAAACATTAGAGTTAAATATGCAAAAACAGCATTATTTTGGTTGATTTAAATCATTTCTGGTAAAATAAAGAGAAAAATCATTATGTCTCAAAGGTAGAAGACTTAATTTAATGGTGCTGAGTAGTCTTAGGATACGTTCTAACTTTTCAGCACCAATTTTATTAAGACTTTGCACACTTGTTCCATGTGTAAAATAACCCAGAGAACACATAACAGCCCAACCATTTGTTGTGTAATAATGGAGATACAAGCGGGAAGAAGAAAAAAACTATTTATAGCAATCGAGGTTTCCCCGACCTAGATCAGTCTTTGAATAAATTATGACGTCTTACACATCGATCACATGATCCACAATCATTGCTGTCTCCAGCAACAGTTTCACACTGGACGATGTATCCCAATTAAGTCACGTAACCAGATAGAATCCACTCTACGATGCGATTATCCAAGATACCATCTATCATGACTGGAACATTGCTGAATTTTTGTTTTAAAGGTTGAAAACTACCAATTCATATATATAATTTTTAGAGCGATCGAGTAGTGCACTGAAGTAAATATTTACTTTTTACATCCAATTGTTGTATTTTAAAACTTGTTGTGGGCATATCGAAAGAATTTACCGAAAATCATAAAATCTCTTTTGAAGGTAAATAATGAACAAAGATTTTAAAATACTTTTATTTGATATTTTTTAACTCATCTTTTTTTTGGTGTTTCCATGGATACCAGACAAACCAGGTCTATAACCAAACAGTGAACCGTGGGTTTCTTAGACTTGTATTTAGTAGTGTTCATGCCAGTGATGGGATTTCAAAATTTTTCATACCAAATCTGATGAAAATCCATGCAGGCATAACTGAGAAAATTTGACTGTTGTTGTCATCAGCACCCTCCCTTTAATGTAATTCTTTTAGGCCACATTTGGACATGGTTGGTAAATAAAACTGGTGTTTTGTGGTGATTAATATGTAGTTTATCACCACAAATAACAAAAAATGTCACATCTTATGAACAAAATTTATAGTGCTAGTTTTAAAATGTTCATTTTAGAGTACTCAACACCCTTGATAGACACATTTAAATACACTGTAGATTTTGATGCATTCACAATGTCATTCTAAGGTGACTTTGTGTGTGTTTTTTTTTTATTTTTATGAAATTAAAAAAAAAAATATTTTTAATATATGAACAGAGTGAAGTTAGCTATATTAAATGTGCTTAAAAGAGTAACTAATATATGTTCTATTTATTTTGACTGCTTCACCTGTGAAGCAAGCATATCTCCTTTACTTTATTAATTAACTAGCAGGATACCCGGCTTCGCTCGGGGGTCATAACTCCGAAACCGGAAGTGGTAGACTAACGCCACCTGGCCTATGTTACTCCCTGGTCCGAGCTACCCCTATACCCCAAATTTCAGACTCGGGCCAAACCTAGTGTAGCCGCCAACCCTGAACAGACCGACTTTGCTTGGGGGTCATAACTCCGAAACCGGAAGTGGTAGACTAACGCCACCTGGCCTATGTTACTCCCCGTTCCGAGCTACCCCTATACCCCAAATTTCAGACTCGGGCCAGACCTAGTGTAGCCGCCAACCCCGAACAGACCGACTTCGCTCGGGGGTCATAACTCCGAAACCGGAAGTGGTAGACTAACGCCACCTGGCCTATGTTACTCCCCGGTCCGAGGTAACCTTATACCCCAAATTTCAGACTCGGGGCAGACCTAGTGTAGAACCAACCCCGAACAGACAGACAGACAGAAAGACAGACAGACAAACGACAGTCACAAATATATATATAGATATGCCGTTGTCCTGAATTAATTTTAATTATAGTTAATGACTTTAAGGATATACGCATAATATAGGAATTCTCAGTAGTAAAGAACAGGAAATTTAACACCACAAGTATGCGGGAAGTATTTGAGGTCTAGTTGGACGAGGAATTCTAATGGGAAATATATAGTTTATTAAATCAATATAAATTGCTAGACAGTTTAAAACATTTTTTTGATTCCTGAAAAAAGGTCAGTGAGACCGGTGTTGATTTTAGTAGCTAGATGTATCTTTATCTTGTTTTTGTATGTATCTACCATAAACATAGATATCATTTATCTATTATACATTATAATATAGTGATCTTAAATATTTGTGGACTGTCTGAATCCTGGAGAAACAAATATTATTCAATCATAGAAAAAATTGTGAAATCGTGTTTCCATTGCATAGTGTCAACTGTGATGTTGGCAATGGAAAATTTTAGTCTTTGAATTTTTAATGATGCATTTCTTTGTATATTTAATAAGAATATGGTGACTGATCAAAATTATCATGATGAATTGAGATTCAGCTTCTGTTTACAGTAATACTGGCAGTATTTAAAATTACCGATCTCTATGGCTGCCAGAAAGACTTATTAAAAAAATATTCTTGTAAATTTGTGTTCTTTTGGACTTGCCTCTTGCAATTTGTGCTACCAATTATAGACTGTGGTAGATTCCATATACACATGGTTTTTGTTTGACTTGAAAATTAAACAGGGCTAACTTCCAACTGTGTCTAGCAGAAAATGATGATGTATTTAGACAGAGAAATCTTTTTTAGTTTGATAACAGATGTTAAAACTACCAGGAATCTGTAATATGGATTATATTAACTCGTCTGCTCTTAAAAATGATTGTTAAATTTAACCTGTCTGCAAATAAATGTAGGCATTGTTGTGTTATAGGTGTGTCTTAACTATTGCAGGAAAACTATGTTAGTGTTGGATTTTTGTAGCAAAATAAAAACTGTATGAAGAAAGTAACAACAAAGTCAATGTGAAAACTAAGAATGTTTTCTTTTCAGCTAAATCCTGTGATTTTAGTCAAATTACTAAAATAGTTGCCCCCTACATCTTGCCTCAATTATTTTTCTAGAAAAAAAAAACATATTTTTTATGCTTTGGGACTCAAGTTTTGAATTTAAATGATTAAATATAATAAAATGGAATTTAAACTATATAGTTCTCAGCCTAGCAGTGTTTCATTCGGGAAAAACTTAATCCAGACACATACTCCAGGGTAAAATTTCTAAATAAAACGATAAGATCTAACCAATTGAAAATGATGTAACTTCCATTTCCAACAAAGATTTATAGTTCCACTCTTCATATATATAGACTTTACTGTAAAATTATATTTTGTTTTTTCATCTGTCTATTGATCTATGATGAATTTCATGGAATTCATCCGAAAATCTCTTGATTGATTTCCACTGGGAAACATAATTCATGCAGAAATAAAGCTGCACTTTTATTGGCTTGTGTTTCAGATATTGTAGAAGTTTATTTGGACCATTGGATTGTTTAAGTTCCTTTATTATTTACATGTAGGACTAATTTGATAATTTCTATAAAGAAAAAAAGTGTGCATGTTACATCAATGAGTTCTCTGTTTCAACGTCTCAGCTATTAGATTATCTGATTTCTCTCAATGTGCCGGCTGAAATTATTTCTAAATGCACAGAATATGCATTATGCATGGAAGGGAAACACAAGATAAAATGCACATAATTCATGTGAATATTGAAATATTTCCAACACAACATTTTTACAATGTGCATTAAAGTATCTTATATTTTTTTCAGATTGTAAAGCTGAGAAAGTTGTTCAAGAAGTTACCAGCTTATGTCATGGACGTAAACAGTGTTCTATAGAGGCAGCAGAAAATAAATTTGGAAATCCTTGTTCTCCAGGAATCAAAAAATATCTTAATGTTACTTATTTATGTGGTAAGTCCTGACATTGGAGTAATACATTTTGATTAAAAGGCCAAATAAGCGCAGGAGTCACCTGGTTGGATGTATTAAGCTGTGTACAGATCCATTCATTTAATTTGATATATATTTGATTTGCAATGTCTGTGTAATTGATGTTTGTTATACAAAGATTTCTCTTATGAATTTTGGAGCCACGGTGGCTAAGTGAGGAAGACGCTGGCTTGCTAGCCTGGAGGTCGTGGGTTCGATCCTGGTGTTGGCCTACAAAGTTCATCAGGATTTTCCAGTGTGGTTTTCCCTTGCCGGTGGTGCAGGACAGAGGGCCTGACAAGGACGGATGGGACAAAAAAAAAAAAGAGGTTCCGTGTACTCATTGGTGTGCACGTGATAAGTCCCTTGGTAGTTGGAATTGGATATAAGAGTAGGCAGCAGCACCGCTTTAAGGGCAAAATTACCCTCATAGCACACTGTATGGCGTATGCCTATCTTCATTTTGTTTGTGTGGTGTTGTCCTCCTGCACTTACTATTAAAACTGTAAGCATTGAGTCAAGGAGAATTTGAAATGTCTTGTTTTCCTTTTTAGCTCTCTTTTATACGCTCACATTTACTGTCTACCAGTCACCAAATCATGGGAAAACTGAAGATTTATTTTGTTTTCTGGAAAAAAGCACAGAGTTTCAGATAGTATAGGACTAGAATAAAGGTTTCTCTGATTCGCTGAAATATATCTGGACCAGCTCCTTTAAAGGACCAATTGACATATTTTAGATTTATTTATACTCTTGAAGGAATAATTAACTTTGATGAAAGTTTTGGATTGTTTAGGTCTGGAATCTTTGTTATGTATGTGTTCTTGTATGCTACATCATATTGCCCTTTGAACGTAAACTTTGCAGTTCAATTATCGGATGTCAATTACGAACCTAATTCTCTACATCAAATAACTGGTAGGATGATATTCACAAGCATTCTCACAGGAATAAGTCACCACTTAAAGCATATTAAAATTGACCTCTGGACTAGTGAGAACTAGCTGATGTTGAGTAATGTGTTCAGGAAGGGATGTTATTAGCACTTAGCAGATGGTATTATATACCTAGTTTGTGTACTGTGTGTTGTTTTTTAGTTTTTCGTTTATTATGGTAGATTTACAGCTGATGAAGTAAAGGATTTTTTTTCTATTCTAAAAACTAAATTAGTTTATTTGTGATTAGGTATCAATTCAAACTCTGTATTAAAAGACTTTTAAATTAGTAAGTGACAATTATTTTTAAAATTTCTGCTAAGTTCCATACCAAAGAACATTGAAAACTAATATGGTGGAAATCCAAATTCAGTAAAAATCAAATAAAATGTTTATTGTATATATAATAGATTCCTTGATAGTTGATTACTACTAGCAGTGTAGTATAGATGTAGTTTCAGTTTTGTTATATAAAGAACAAATATAACATATTTGTTTTCTCAAATATCAACTTGCATAAGCTTACATTTGCTCTGGGGTAAATTAATCAAAGAAGATTACGTATATATCTTCCGGTATTGTATAGATAGAAGGTTATTGTCATACTGTAGAAAACACTAGATATTTTTAGATGGTTTATCCTTGAAAAAAGTTTATCATTAAATTTATCCAGTTTATTTATTCTATTGCCTATTTCTCCGCAACTGAACAAGTTAGAAACCATTTTGTGATATCTATATGATCGTATGTGTTCATTCTTTTAGTTGATTAGAATCAAATATCAAAATCGTAAACAAACACTAAATACGACTCATTTGAATAAATTATTTGTTTCGAAGGCTATAAATACAGTTTTTGCCCAAATTTCGTCATTTCCGGTGACATTGAAAATGTAAAATTGAGTTGAACTAGTCACAAATGGTGTCACTTTTATGAATGTCCAATAATAATTGACTCTTTTACAGGCACAATAGCGGAAAGAGTGACTCATGCAAAATTGACCATTTCTCGGCAACTGCGCATATTACAAATTAATTTTCACATACATTCTCTCCATATAGATTATTGCAACGAGTTTATGAAAGTTACGAAGTAATATTTTAAAATATGAAAACGCTGGATGGGTTGTAAATAGCTTAATTTTACACCTTTTTTCACCTTTTAATCGAAATAGCCCGAAAACGGAATCAAAATTAAAAAAAACTGGGCACAACATTTTTTGTGCCTTTAAAGGGCGCACCCTTTCAGTTATACCAGATTTGAAAAAAATAATATTTGCTTTCGAAAAGTGGTACCTAACTGTCAAAATTTTAGTTTTTGGCAAAATTACGCCACTTCCTGTGCCGACAGATAACTCTATCGGGAACAAAAAAAATGGGAATTGAGACAACGGGGTATATAAACTTTGTTTTATACAAATCGAACAATAAATAATTAATCTACGACTGAAAAACTGAATTAGCCAATGGCGGCCAAGGAATATTACGGAGACAAAATTTTTTTAGATTTTTGCTCAAGTCAGATGACTCGTTAATTTTGTGTAAAACACGACTAAAAAATATTCATAAATAAAAATGTTTTTTGTAAAAATTTAAATTTTCGAAATTTGGCGCCTAATATCTGTGAAGATTTGCCGAAAATCAAAAATCAAAAGTAGCATAGCTATGTGCCCTGTGTCCGGCTATGCCAAAATGTATCGAAAGTTAAAATCCAATGATTATTGTTAAAATTACTGCGATATTTCTAAAAACGATAGCTTCGGTGATTTCGGACATTTCGCATTGTCGCAGAACGATCAAAATAGCTTTATCCTCTAAGTCACACCCACTTTTCCAGTAAAACCGAAGAAATCGTAACGATCCGACAAGGAGTTGCTGAGATCTAATCAAAAATAATTTGGAATAATAATAAGAAGAAGAAGAAGAATAATCTTAACAAAAACAATAGTGTTTCACACAAGCTACGCAGTGTGAAACCCTAATAAGCTAATTATTATTCATTTTATTTGTTTAGTAACAGGAAACCGTAATTGTAGACTAGATAAACTTTTCAAGTTAAAGCCTCCACCCTGAGTATTAATAGTTTTACATGTAATATTTACACTGGCAGTTTGTCTAATTATTACAGTACAAAGCGACCACCATCTGTAATACATATTTTGTCTCAATCTGTTGGAAGTTGGCAACGTATTATCAACGTCATCTTATATACCATGTTAAAGCCAAGAAACATTTGATCAAATATCTGATTATGAATTGGAATATAGCGAACCTTTGTTTAATCTACGTTTTATCTTTTAGTTCCAAAGAACCTTTTAAAGAAATTACGCAGGCGGCACAAGAAGAAAAAGAAAAATAAAAAGGATAAAATAACTACTACAGCAAGTTCACCAGATAAAATATTTACAAAACCCATTCCAAAACCGTCCATTACTACCACTCCTTATATATACCAAAAACCAGCAGAACCGACGGCGGAGTTGGTACCAGCAGGTAACACTACTACATGTGGGTATAACATCTACTACAGCATGTTATATTTACACCCTTTATTATATATGTTATGTTATATTGAAGACTAGTTTATATACCACATGGATACATCATTTTAATGTTATATAGTTTAAAGATACATTCTCATGAAAGTTTTTATCGGGTAGTTATTTCCAATAATAGTATGGCTATATGGAAAGTAGAGACAATCATTCTTACTAGAAAAATACTGAATTCCCATGAAAATGTCCATGGGGCACACACAAGACAAAAATCACAAGACAAAAATGTGAAGGTATACCTAAAAGACAATCTGTTTCCTCGAGTAATGTAAGGAGCTCTTCTTATGTATTGGCTAATGGCCCACGGTCGCAGGTTGTGAGATCATTAAGAGAATCAAACGTCCAGTAGTCTCTGTGATTAAACAGTGGAAAAGGAAATTGACAGGAATTTACAGCTTATGACTTGATTATTTTCACCCTCCTACACATTGTTGTACATGTAAAAGAACAACCCTTAGCAGCTGGAATTCTAAGATGAGAAGTTAAAAAAAACCTGTCCATACAGAATTTATCCCCTTTGTATTGCATACGTAATTATAGAATTGAAAATTGTCATATGTTAATCTCAAAATGATGAGACATTAAAGACCATTCCATTCTATTCCTGGCGTCCACATTAAAATTTAGATGTATAAACTAGTCTTAATTATTGTATGTCACCTGTTAGTTTAGATATTTCAAATCACTTTTATCATCATTTATTATAGAAAAAAGCATGATTGATTTGCCCCATTCAGATCATACTCTGATCTTACATATCTAACCTTCATTATAAAGTATAGTCTCATAAAATCAAATATTATATGCCATGGAGACACTTAAGTTAAGCTGGTTTAAAAGTGCTGGCAATTGTTAAGCCAGTTTAACTTTCAGCTTGTTTTAAAATTGTGCAGCAAGTTATCTTCCTGTCAGATGCTAATACATAGGTTTAACACTCTTAAAGGGTCAATCTCAATTATATTTTGGAGAATAAACCTGTTTAATTTTGTGTTAAAAGCCCTTAAAATCCTCTACCTTAGGGCTGAGCAACTAACTCAATATACGTGATATGTTTGCAAACAACTGGAAATGGAGACCTGTGTCCCAAGCTGTATTATAAGGTTATAAAAATAACGTGTAGGTGAAATTTACCTTTCGTTATCAAGTACAGCTCTTTTGTCTTGCACTGTATAGACCTCTAAAGAAACTGCAATAGTTTCTCAGGTCACCCAACGAAAAAATTGACCTGAAATCTTAAAAGGGTTACGTGTCTGGATAAGTGAGTTTGACGTTCATGTCCAAATGACCCAATATTTTGAGCTGAAATTTCGAGACAAGGTAAATACACCATTCCTCTATAAATTGGCATTTAAATGTTATACATAGACGGCCCTTTATTTCTGAGACTGCTAAAATTGTGATAGTCCCTTTAACAATATTATAGCCAATGAGATCAAAATAGTTAAGCTGGCTTGGCTTAAAGTGAACCCTAGCATTTTTAAACTAGCTAAATATTAGTATCTGAATGGCATATTAAACTAAAGATCCATTCATCAGTTGAATTATTGGTATATCATCATGTATGACATGCATGTGTCTAGACTCATCATAAAATTTTCACATAGATTTGACTGATAGTTTGAGTAGACAGTGTTCACCTAATAGCTAGCTAGTAGAAAAGTGTTTGACCTGTATAGTAGATTATGTGATTGATGGTCTGTTAATGGTTTAAAGCCAAATCGACTTCTATTTAATGATGGTTGTAATGTTGATAATATAACACAGTATGAAGATTGCATAGTATTATTCTAATATATATAGATGCTATTTTTATAGATGAGTAAATATGATAGGCAGGTGTCTGGTCATAAATTTATGTGTATATGTATAGTAAAATAAAAACATAACTATCACACAGCAAATATATGGGTATTATAACTGAACATCTTGTATTGAAATATTGAAATCAGCAACTATAGATGATTAATATTCCAAGAAACCCAACTATAATATGAAAAGTGTGAACAGATATCTGTATACACAAATACTGCATGTCGTGTTTGTTACTGATACATGTATATAATTAGAATTGTAGGCTATAGCCTAATATAGCATAGAAATGACTGGTTGAATTGGCGTTTTACATTAATATTGCATTGAATTTTCTTGTAGGCTTACACATTGTTCTGTGCTGTAAAGTAAAAAGATTAGTTATAATGTACTAATTGAGTTACATTAGCATGCTATGAATAACGAAATGAAATGGGGTTTTAACATCCTACTTTCCCGCGATGACTGGGCTGTTGAAGATGGGCTTACGCCATGCAGTGTGGTATGAGGGAAGTTTGCCCGGACAGCGGCGCTATGGCCTACTCTTATATCGAATTCCATCTAACAAGGGTTCTTTTATGTGCACGTCAATGTGTACACAGGACCTCAGTTTTTTGTCCCATTTGAATGACTAGCCAGCTGTCCTTGTCAGGCCCTTCATCCTGCATCACTGAAATGGATAAACCATGCCGGAAAAACCCAAGGAACATTCTAGGCCAACACCTGGAACGAAACCTGAGATCTCCAGGCTATTACACACTGAGTCACTGCGGCTCCATTATAGCCAAACAGGATTAGTTTAGTTTAAAAATTAATTAGACCTATATTTTTCCAAATTGTAAAATTATTCATGTATCATTTAATCATTAATTTTCTCAGATGCAGCAAAACCTGATAATAATAGACCAAATCCTACCCATCATATAACATATACTAAAGACAGTAATAATAATAATAATAAAAAAGATCAACAAGAAGTTGGAGGTGAAACTGTACCAACCATCATCTGTATGAACGAAACCGCAAACGTGGCGGTAGGAAATCAACGAGATGCCCCTGTGGGCTTTTTACAAGATCTATTTAATGCCTGGTATTTCTTGAAAGGTAATTGATATTATTGATCAGTGATTCCTTCCAAGAAGGGAGAATAAATGTAAATAGGTGTGCATGTTTTCTGGTTGCAGTTGTAGAAGTGTGAAGGTTGTTGTGGTTGTCTCCCTTTGTTAAGATATGATATATTAGAATGAATTTCAAATGTCACACAACATTTTAAGGTGACAGAAAGGTGACGAAATGGCATGAAGCTGTTAGTCTTAATGCAAGTATGACTACAATCCCAAAAGCGTTTTATAGCTGAGGCGCTGGAGGGGCCAGCCTCCTCGCGATAAAAATCAAAGAAGTTGAAAAGATAAAACGGGAGAAAAACGCTAAGACCAATGAGAAAAATGAAAATGTACCCTAGTTAGGGAGGGCCCTAAAGGCAGACAAAAAGGCCCCACGTCTAACAAAAGGGCCCCTCTGGCCAAAGGAAAGGGCCCCCCTGAGTCCAAGTCAATCGTTTTCTATACACTGTTACTGGAGGATATGTCAGAATGCACCAAAATGTTTTCTTTTTTTAAAAATTTCTCGACCTCTGGTGGCTGGGAGCAGAGACCCCCCTGCGAAAGAGGGCCCTCAAAATAGTATATCCTCCGCCTTGATAAACCTTAAAACGCCCCTTTACAATCCCATAATTAACATCAGCAAAAAACATGTTTCTACATTTTTTAACCGGGTCATTGACAGCCAACAGTTTTTGTGTCATTGGTAAATTACATCATTGAATACAACTATATTTGGCAATATTCCTTAAAATTTGTATTTTCTTATTTCAGGAAATCAAGAGAAGGCTATATTATATTTTGTGATAGGTGTCAGTTTTGGTATTATAGTTTTACTAACAGTTATGTTAATCAAAATAGGAGCAGACTATAAACGAAATATGCGTGCAAAGTTAGATGTGACTGAACCAACACATAGTCATAATATGGGACATAATCATAACTCTTTAGAAACACCCATGTTAGATGGTTCCGATTCTTTAGATAGAATTGAGGTTGTGAGATTTAGTCCGCGAGGAACACTGCGTAATAACGACCCCGGAAATCGTAGTTTGAGTAATTATTATGGTTGAAATTAAAGATGTTTGTTTATTTGTTTGTTGTGTCAAACATTTTGTGTACCTCAAAAAGGACAACAAAAAAAAAACCCACACTAAACAAAAAAGTGCCATTTATCTACAACATCAAATAAGAGGAAAAATTCTAATGAAATTGTGTTCCAGTTACTTTCAGAACATCAAATAAAAAAATCATGTTTTGGAAATTTCTAATGGATACATAAAGGATTACGAGAATGAATTTCTAAGTGGTAATGTGAATTCAAGATGGATGATTCAAATAATGATTACAAATTGTTCAATATACATGTACTTACTCCATACCATACATGTAGCTCAGAATTTTATAATGTCAGATATTGTTTTCATTGTTTTATCTCAGGAAGTTTTATGTTATGGAATAATATTTATATATAATGTAAACATATATAAATTAAATTTATAATTTTGATATTTGTAATACATCATAAATTCATCATAGATAGTGACGGCTTATTTCTCAATAACTTAAAATATCCATGATTAGTTCCTAGTCAATACTAGAAATCAAATGTCAGATCATCAGACAATTAGGCCAGAAGCATAAGAATTTAACCGTGAATAATGGCGCTGGTGAGCATGATTGTTCTGCAGGCATGGAAATAATGATTTTTTTTGTATCTGACCAAATGTCAGGCACTGTTGAAATTTTTGTCAGACATATATTAAAAACATTTATAAAAACACAGAAAAAAGACAAATCAGACAGACAAAATGACAGGCACTAGATGATTGGTACCTGTTAAAGCCTGCCTGTATATAGTATAGACATTGTCAGTCAGTGATAGGTGTCTTATTTCCACGCTTGTTGTTCTGTTGGTTTTGGCTGTGGAGTAAAAGTGGGTACAGATTGTTATATTAAGGTTATTTCTTTCAATAATGGATTCTAACTTACTCAAATGTTATCGAGAAATAAGAATAGTTTGTATAAATATATGATAATTTATAACTATTGAAAAGTGCTGAATAAGTTCATTATCTTATTACATATAATAATCATTGTGTTCATTTTATTATTCACCTTTTTTGGTTTATTAATTATGTAAAATCATTGTACATAGATATTTATTTGCTATTAAAAATGTTCTGTTATATTTGTTAATAATTAAATATTCTGTTTTGCTGCTAACCACAGTTGTTAAATTCATGAAAGTAAAAGCTCTTTTAATTTCCCTTTTTTAAAACATTAAATTATTGCTTCTGTGTGAGGGCTCTGGCTTCAGTCATATTTGCCTGTGAGTCTTTATAAGCTGGATAACTTAACTGTCAAGTCAATTTACATGCCATGAAATTTAAATTTTTAAAAATATAGTCTTTAAAACACAATAAAACATTTAAATTTATATTTTTAAGTGGAAAAATACTTAAAAATAAATGAAAAAAATTGAAAAAAAGTATCTTGCTAATTTGAGGAAACAAAACACTGATCACATATCAGAGTTGACTGGCTATCAATATTTTGGAGTGAAATCCATGTTCTTTATACTCCAAATTTAGGAGAATTATTTAATTTAACCATTGAGAATTTTCTTACTGTTGAGCTATGGATCAAGTCGTTTTCTTACTGTTTTATATGATTTGTATGTGTACTCATGTTTATACATCATTGTTTTTGTCCTGTAAATAATTAAATATTTATTTGATATTGTTTTGTTTTATAAAAACAACCAAAAATATCATTATTCAATCTATGGTATGATTTCTTTTTATACGCCCACATTTTAATGTGAATCCAAATATATAAAGAGAGAGGAATCCAAAACCATTTGAATAACATAAACTTAGATGGGATCTAAGTCATAATAAACTTGATACAGTGACACCAGTAGTAGGAGTGGTTAAGTCATGGGTATCACAAAACCATCTTTTATAGTATCTAACGTTTTGTAAGTCTAAAAACCTACTTCTTCAGAGAATACAAGCTACACAAATGATACAGTTGCAGTACAAGGTTAGTCATGGTAACAAGTGATGTCATAATGTTAATATGCTATGACGTCATATTAACATTATGACATTTTAATGTGGACGTATTATGCCATTGCCCCTGTCCCTGCCATCCACAATTTGTTTGTGGACATTCTACAGGTCACATTTTTTTATCCAATTTTGACAAAACTTGAAATATAGGTCTATCTAACAAAGATCTTGGTTCCGTTCGATATTGTCATGTATCGGATCATAAATTCATGGATTATGGACCCTGATTGTACGAAAAATCACATTTTTAGCTTGTGGACACTCTAGAGGTTACAATTTTCGTCTGATTTTGATGATATAACCCAAAGATCTTGATTCCTGTGCATATCAGATTCTAACTTCCTGAATTATGGCCCCTGATTGTACGAAAAATCACGTCTTTAGCTTGTGGTCCCACTGCGGTCACAATTTTTATCCGATTTAAAGAACCGTTGGAATATATCACTGTTACACCATAATGTCAGTTAAGTTCGAATTTCGTGAAAATCAGACCGAATGGTCACTCCTTGTACACAAATAGTGTAAAAGTATGTAATACCAAGGTTGTGGACCCTCTAGAAGTCACAATTGTTATCAAATTTTCATGGAACTTGAAATGCATTCTTATAACCCAAAGATCTTGGTTCCGGTCGATATTTGTGCATATCAGACTGTAATTTCCTGGATTATGGCTCTTGATTTTACGAAAAATCGTATATTTTTGCTAGTGGATTCTCTAGAGGTCTCAATTTTTATCCCATTTTAAAAACTGTTTAAATATATCACAATTCCACCATAATGATTGTACGAAAAATCTCTTTTGTTTTTAGCTTGTTCTCTATCCATCTCTTGCAAAATGTGGACGTGTTTAAATCAAGTTATTAAATGGCAATCCTATGCTCTAGAGAGTTGATTATGGGCTTCTTGGCTGAATAAATGTCTAATTAATAATCTATGTAACATTTGAGGCCCCTGCAATACAGTATATAGATTTAGCTCTTACTTAAGACATCTTTCAGAATAAAGATTTTAAGATAGATGGTCATATAAGAATGAAAATGGCATGTAGTATATAGGGCAATAAGAATAGTATTAACAGGAGTATAATGTATTGATAATAGTCATATAGAAGTATATATGACACAATGACATTTTAAGAAAATGTAGTTAGTATATAGTACTGTTGTGAGAATGAATATAAATAGTTCTCTTCAAGAACTGTTGTTCTCTAATCCTTGAAAGCCAGATGAGGTCAGTTTCCTGGTTGTCTTGACAATATACTAAGTTGATTTACCAGAAACAAAGTTCAAGGTAGGGAAATTATGATCTGACTAGGGTCATGAGGAACTTAAAATTATACATGGACATGATAAAGCATGAAATTATTGAGTGAATAGGATTTGTTCTAAAATCTGTGAATGAAGAAAGGCCCTCATACTTAATGAACTTTGACATATGTTGAAATGCATTGTTTGAAATAATTTCAAAAAGTAAGACATAAAAAGCTTTAGATGAGAAGCTGTAGTACATCGAGAAAAGATGCATAATATATCTCTATATGACTGATTACTCATTTGATCTAGCATTTTAGTACATGACCATTTTATTTTTGTACCCTGCCTTTCAAAGAAAGCAGGGGAATATTAAAATGGTTCTGTCCGTCTGTCCGTCACACAATAACTCTCCTTCTGATTGAGCTAGAATGTTCAAACTTGGTGTAGGTATATATTATGATAATATCTTGATGGAGTTCGAAGATAAGCATTTTCTGCTTAGGGTAAGCAGAGATCAACAATTTGATTGGTTGATGCTGTGGGACACGATAACTTTAGTTCTAATTAAGTGAGAGTAATGAAACTTGGTGTATAATTTCATTATATCAATACCTTGTCTGAGTTCAATAATGAACATTTTCTGCTCAGGGTAAGCAGAGTGATAAGCAATTTGATTGGTCGAGACTTTGGAAGACACTAACTCTCCTTTTAATTGAGGTAGAATGTTCAAACTTGGTATAGGCATTCATTAGGTGAATGCCTTGATGGAGTTCAAGGATGAGCATTTTCTGCTTAGGGTAACTTAAGTTCTAATAAAGTGAGAGTGATGAAACATGGTGTATAGTTTCATTACATCAATACCTTGACTAAGTTGAATAATGAGCATTCTCTGCTCAGGGTAAGCAGATCGATAAGCAATTTAAATAGTCGAGACTTTAGAACACAATAACTCGCCTTCTGATTGAGGTAGAATGTTTAAACTTGATGTAGATGTTTATTTTGTGCATGTCTTGACTGAGTTCAATGATTAAAATTTCCCATTAAAGATAAGCACAGCTAAGCAATTTCATAAATTTGATTCTAACCGATGGAGTTTTATGAAACTTAGTGTACAGTTTCACTACCAGGTACTTGAAAACCTGACTGAGTTTGATGTTATCATTTTAGGCTTAGATTAGGCATAGATAATCAGTTTAATTGCTTAATAGTTTTGAAAAAGATAAATGTGAAATTAATCAATATCTGTCATCTATTTATTTTGGGAATTCGGTGGGGGACATCAGCCTCACTGTTGGCGTTGGCTTGTTATACATTTATATTAGAACCATATACAGTTTGACCACATACTGCATGCTCTATATCAGCACATGAATGGAATAGGCCATTGTGTTGCTGATATTTGTAATTATTACTAGACAGAATTTAAAAAAAATAATTGAATCTTGTTATTTGATTTGTTTTTATTCGCTCTAGATTTATGTAGAAAACTTTCTTTGGATTCAATCCTCTGCCAATTATGAAGCATGTGGTCATACTATATATAAAGTTCATGATATTTAAGATTATAATATGAAAGGTTGTTTTTGTCTTGTAAAACGATTCATACATAATAAAATGTATAGTGGGTTATAAAAGTAACTCATTCCATATAAGCTTTTAATAGAATTTTTGAAAACAAAATTTATATCCTTGATATAACATATAAATTATTTTTTAACTGATTTGTGTTTATCAATTTTGAATAAAGCATAATAATTTGGAAACCTATTGTAATATAAAATTATTTGTGTAAAGAAGCAGTCACAGATTTTAAAGGGTATTCATTGATAAATCTGAAAGTTTCAAATCCCAAAACTGAACATTTGATAATCACGCCACTTATGCAGCATGGAATTTCTCGACTTATTGCAAACTCCATATGAAAACTGAAAGTTTGTATTTCTTAGAAAATGTATCACAGAGCTTCAGACTAGGATAAATGTATAAAAAAAATTGCAATAGAAAAAAACATTGAATTTTTACTCTGCTTCTTAATATGTTACATAATTTTAACAATACCTGATCATAAACAACCTTTAAAGGTCACCAGATAGGCCTCATAATTTTTTTAAATAATACAAGGAATTATGTCAACATATCCTTTCCATAAGTATAACACGATCCTGAATGTCAGTGTTACCTGCCACAGGTAAATTTCTACAGGTAGATTTCTGCCGTTCTCCATGAGTAGTCGTAACTTTCTGCCAATAAACAATCTGTGATGTCATTTAGTCCTTCTGCTCATATTCTAGTCTTTTTTAATTCTATAAGCAGAAGGACTAAAGTGACGTCATGGCTTGTGTATTGGCGAAAAGTTACGACTACTCACAGAGAATGGTGGAAATCGACCTGTGGAAATTTACCTGTGGCAGGTAACATTGACATTCGGGATCATGTAATACTTATGGAAAGGATATGTTGACATAATTACTTGCATTATTTAAAAAAATTATGAAGCTTTTCCAGTGACCTTTAAATGCTTTATTTTATTTATATGCTGTTGATTTCATTTTTTACTTTGGGTCACTTTTAAACCTGGAGTTCTCGAAGCCAGAGATCTAAGCTCATTTTAGACTGTCTTTAAATTTAATGAAAAGTATTTTAATTTTATTTTTCTACGTTTTAACTTTTAAAAAAAAGAATTCTGTGTTTTCTTTCCAGCTAATTGTAAATACAGTTGTTGACATGTATGTTGCTGTCTGTTATATTTGTGATTGACATGTATAAATTATGTAAATATTATTAGAACTGCCAAAATGTGTAGTCAGTTTCTTGTATCTGTAGAACAGAACCGACTATTATTATGGTTGAACTTGTTGTTACAATTACTAGGACTCTTAATTTATTACTGACTTCTAAGATACACATAATTTATGGAAATGATTGGGCTGAAGACAGCCATACACCACACAGTGTGCTATGAGGGACATCTTGCCTGGTCAGCTCTTATTTCGAATTCCAACTGTCAAGGATTCTTTTATGTGCATGCCAATACTTACATGGGATCTTGGTTTTGCGTCCATCCACACGACTAGATGCTGTTCTTTGCTAGGCCCTTTGTCCAGCATCACTGACAAAGGGAAACCATGTAGGAAAATCTGGTCGACTTACTCAATGAGCCACCATGGCTCCCCTTAATAAAAGGATTTTAAATTGAATACATATATCTGCTTTGTTAATATTTTGATACGATTATGTGAATATGTATATTTAAACATTGAGCATATTCATCAACAAGCTTAAAGATGGCCTGACTACTTTCTACTGCTTTTTTTTGTGATGTTCATTAAAACCATTCTCTAAATAAACAAGTTCATGTACATGGAATTACCACTTGATTATTTGCTACTGTTTTTATTATTGTATATTTGTAAATATTAATGAATTTTAATAAATGTAATAAATGTAATTGTCTTTGGTTTCTTCTGCTCATTTTATGGGAAGCGGCGGTCATTGGTTATACATCACCACCCCCTGCTCCCGAGTAAGTGTCAAATCTTGTTGTTAATCAAGATATTTAACATATTCTTCCAGTCTACTATGGTAAAAAAGGCACAGGTAGCAAATATGGACGTTTTTGAGAAATGGCAAGAACATCGCAGTTCTTTTCTTTGAAACAATCTGATTTTTTAAATTATCTCATTTTAGTCTTCAGCTCAGCTTCTTGAAGCAAGATTCTCACACGATATCAGTACAGTAATATGTTATTGATTATTTTTATACTCCTATCTTTATTTTGAAACAATAAGGAAATTCCAATAAAATGTCAAAAACCAATTCAACTGAAGACTAAAGGGAGATAATCCAATTTATTGTATTTGGACGCAGACCATCATTCCCACTGACTTCTACGTTAATTCAGGTTTCTTTGACCGTCTACAACTTTTCCCAAAATTTTGAGCAAGAAATGGCCATTTTATTTTCTCCAAGGTTTGTATTTGGTGGAAAACTGAATTTTTGAAGTAGCATACTAAAAACATGTAACCATCCCCTTAACTTTGTTATCCTTGCGCCTCTAAACCATAAATATTTACCAAAACCTGGCAGAAAATGTCAATGCGAACTCTCTTCTTCAATTCTAGACCAAAAATTTAAAATAAATGACCATGAAAAAGGTGAGAAAAGGTAGGGAGAGAGTGACTAGTATTGAAAGAAACTACATTCTGGGTAACAGATGATGAAATTTAATGGTGGTCTGCCTCCACTTCAAATGCTGGAAGATTTAAAAGCACATTTTTAAGATGTTATAGGCAGACATCAACATTCTCCAAATGCTTGTTACTTATTGACCAACCTAAAACTAAGTGTCATTTTTATAAATAAACCATGAAGAAAATAAATTAATTTTCATTCAGTAGTAAATAGTTTTATTTTTACATAAAAACAAGATAAATAAATAACAATTCATCATAATGCTAATATAAGGAATATAACCAGAAAGATAAAATATCAGCAACACAAGTCTAGTATGAACTAAGAATGGGGTGCTCTTTACCCAAAATGCAGAAAAACACTTTATATTCATTATCTTTCATTTTTGTGAAATAGCAGACATGAAATATAATTTCACAATAATTGATATGTGATATATAATTTCATCATCAGTGATATAGATACATGTATATCAATTTGTTTATGGTATTTAAAAGAAAACTGTTTCTATAAAAATCTGAAATGAAGATATAGCGTTTATAGAATAGAGCACTTTATTAATTATCTACACTTTGATTAAGAAATGACTGAACACAAAATTGATAATACATTTTACAAATTATGAAAATAAAACAAAGCAGTTCCTTAGGTTGCAAATACAGGTAACTGTTCAAAATCATTGTTTATTTGATGGATGGTTGAATGGAAGAATGTAATTATTATCTGAATTTTAAATTGCTTATCCCATGGAATTGTCTTTTTAAATGGTTACTGTCAGCCCAGGCAGCGTCAAGATATGAATCCTCGCTATCAGCTTCTAATTTCTGTAAAATAGGTAATAGTTAAAAGTAACAAGTAACTCAATTTTAAAACACAGTATTTCCTGAACGATATTCAGACTATGTCATAACTTCCCATAATGTAGATGTTTCTTATTGAGATTCTTTTTATTTGCCAAGAGTAATCATGAGATCACACACGTCAATCCTATCCAGTCACCATATTTTTGTCAGTCAAAGACAGAGAAAAAGTATTAACATCCACTCAACAGTTGATTTTGTAAGTAACATACTGTACATTTTTATTTGTATAATTTGTATGAGCTCAAGGGTCTCTAGCAGTAGATGGAAATCAGCACATGGTTAGACCACTCGGCCATCGGACCACTTGATTAATTCCCGATTATCAGTCTTACCTTCATTGCTTCCTGTTTTTTATAATAATATGCCATCATCTTTTTCTGTTCTTCTTCGCTAACTACAGGTTCTCTACTTGGAGCCCCTTGTCCTTTCTAGAATATAAATAAACTACATTAAAAAAAGAAGACTCTGTACACGAAACGTGTTAAATCCAATAACAAATCTAATCAGTAAATTACTAAAATAGATTGATGTGTGTTCAAAGTTTCATAATGACATTATGAGATATTCTCTGGAATAAACATTTGTTTCAATGGAAACACAAAAATAAAACATCTGAGTAAATTCTAATTAGCAAAAGGAACAACTACTATAATAGAGTAATGTGTGCACAAAGTTTCGTAAATATATTCTGAGATATTCAGACACAAAAACAAGACGGATGGAGCCAATTTCAAAACCACTTCCTTAACTTTGTTTGATGCAATACAAAAAAATAGACATGACAGTAAATGAGAAACACTAGTTGCCAGGCAAGATACACCCACATTTTGCAAGAGATGGATAGAGAACAAGATAAAAAAAAAGAAACGATATTCCAGGAACATATGGTCTGAAATGTGCGAATATCGAAATGGGCTGAGATATTTGGGATATAAAGATATATTTTACGTTTCATCAAAATTGGATAAAAATTGTGACTTCTAGAGAGTCCACAACATTAGAATTACATACTTTTATACTATTTGCGCACAAGGAGCGGCCATTTTGTCATGCAGTTTCAGTCCAATTTTCGAACTCAAGCGTCATTAGGGTGTAACAGTGATACATTTGAACGCTTTTAAAATCGGATAAAAATTGTAACCTGTAGAGGGTCCACAAGCTAAAAACAAGATTTTCCATGCAATCAGGGGCCATAATCCAGGAGATTATGATCCAATATGCGAAAATATCGAAAGGAACCAAGATCTTTGGATTATAATCATATATTGCAAGTTTCATCAAAATCAGATCAAAATTGTGTAATAATTGGATAGTAATTGCGACCTCTAGAGGAACCACAAGTTAAAAACGCGACTTTTTTACATTTAGGGGCCATAATTCAGGAAGTTACAGTCCGATATGCGCCAATATCGAAACAACCAATAAACATGCATATCAAGTTTCATCAAAATCAGATGAAAATTGTGACCTATAGAGTGTCCACAAGCTAAAAAATTGATTTTTCCATACAATCTGGGGCCATAATCTATGAAGTTTTGGTTGATACATGCCAGTATTGAAAAGAAACAAGATCTTTTGGAGGTAAACCTATATTTCAAGTTTCGTCAAAATCGGATAAGAATTGTAACCTGTAGAGTGTCAACAAACAAATTGTGGACGGATAGACGGATGTCCGAACGGATGGACGGATACGTCCACAAGAAAATGTGGGCGTATTAAAAGTGTAGTACCATGGGTTGTCTGTCAGACGTGGAAAGCGACCATACCCTCAAAACCGGTCACCACATCCGACATAATATGACCCATGAACTCTTTTCTTACTACATAACTTGGAACAGCCCTTAATCGTCTAGTATTCTCTCTGGTTATATTTGTAATTATCTTATGACTCGTATTGTGTATATATTTTTATCTCTACCGTTAAGATGTATCTTTAAATGTCATTCTGATATCCCATGTTATCAGTCTCAAAATATTGTATTAATAACAAGATGACAGGAACAAAAGTATGGTTTCTACAGTTTTATATCAAGCTGGATACATAAGTTACAAACATAGATTAAAAGTAAAGCCATTCTCTCCATCTCTTAACCCAGATGTTGCCACTTGAACCTCAATAGTCTCTCCCAAAGACATGTTGTTTGCTCTCTAAAAACTATATGGTTAACTAAAATCGTCCACGTCTCAAATGTATTTATTTATATGCCTTAACTTTTGCTATCTATTGTTTAAATATGTATGTAATTATGATGATTTGTCACTAAGTCTAATGACCACATGACTCAGCCAAATATGGAATGGAATATTCCACATATGAGTGTAATAGATAATAGAATTTATCCTTGGCCTTAGACCCCAATGTCCTGTTATTGTCATAATATTTCATACAAAATTTGGGTTTTAAAATAAACTCATACCATAGCTAATACACTAACAATGTAGAATAATTAGTCAAGGCCATAATATTACTATACATATGTGTTCTTTTGCACAAATCCCGCCATGCATATTACTACAATAGAGGGGAAACCTCTTTGAAGTATCCCTTCTGGAATTTATTTCTAAAGCTATCTCTCACACATAGATCAAAACTACAAGATGTGTTTAGTCTGTAAATATTACCCAATTTCTTTCTAAAAAAAAATTAAACAGATCTTCAATAAATACCTTTTGAATCTTTGCTACAATTTTGGTTTTATCATTTTTGCCAACAAAATCAGACAATTTTTTGCCTCTTAGGATTTCTTTTCCTGCCCACCATAAAGAAGCATTGGGTTCTTCGATAATTTCTGTTGATGCCTGGTACATAAAAAAAAAATAATATTAAAATCAAATTCAACTGAGCATAAATGGGGAATAACTACAAAAATACAGTCCATCATAGACTCTCCCATTTGACTTCAATGTTAATTTTTGCCTCTTTGCCCAGCTCTAACTCTTTCCCAAATGTTCATTAAGATGAACGCTTTATATGATAGATGGAGCAACATGTTGCAACATCTTGCTCAAAAGGGTGTTTGAGATTTAACATGTAGGTCTCGAGATACACAAACTTGAACAAGCATACTAGTAACAATGTAACAATGCATCCATCCGCAGAACATTTAAATTTATTCAACTCTGTTGTTATTCTTCTGCCTTAAAATCAAGAATATTCACAAAAACCTGGTGTGGAAAAATCACAAACTTTTTTATGACCCTAGAAAGGACGTCATTAGAAGGAACTACATTTGTGAGTACCCATTTGGATCAGAGCAGTAGGATGTTAAACCCCATTTCATTTCATTTTACATTTGTGACTAACCCAATCGAGGGAATATTTGGTGGTATGGGTCCATATAAATCCTGTGAATAGTTTTACTGGAGTAAAACTGAGAACTCAATTCTGAATTGTTTCATTCTGTCAATTTAAAATGTTCATATTCACATTTGAATGATGAAATACTTTTAATCTCCTTTCATTTTGCAAAATGATTGCAAGGATATAAAGATTGCATCCAAGCCTCACATTTGATCAGATAATTTAGATCTGCTAGGAAATAATTTAAGCAATCAATGGAATTGTTATCGATACATTACCTGTGTACCAGACAAATCTTCTGTATTTTCTAGTTCATGTCTAACTGTATCATGTGGTGGTAAACCCATAGGATAAACTATAGTTACAGCACCTTTTAATATACTTATAGCTTCTGTTATAGTGGCTTGTGTCACTGGAACATTTGCATCAACCTTTTTCTATGTATAGAAAACATAATTACTTGTTACTAAAAATCTGATCAAATTGTTTTAATTAAGCTTAACACAAAATCTATACTGCACAAATATCGATTAATTTCCATACTTAAACCAATACTTAGAGTAGGTAAAGCTGCAATGGGTGAAAAGGCTAACAACCATTTTTTTAAATTTAAATCTAACAACAGTAAGGTTAGAAAGGTATTCTTTAGCTAGTAAATTAACCGTTAACAAAAAACCTAGGTTATATATCAACTAGAGCTCATGTATGGAAATGATAACCTCCAATATTTCACAAAGGTGCTTTAGGCAAATAAAGATGATGATATAAAAACAATAGAAAGTAATGTCAACTGATCAATTTTAATAAGTTTTAGACCAATAATTTTTTTTGTTATGATTCCTCTTTATTATGTACAAGTATGAGTGGCTCTCATAGTGTATTAATAACAATGTTTGTATGAATCAAATTGAATATTTACCTTAGAAATCATATCTTTAGCTGCTTGAATTGTTTTATTTAACACTTCCTGCATTTGTTTATTAGGTGCTAACGATAGAAAATAAACAAATATGAAACTTTACACATATACCAGTATACCAATTCTATGTACACTTTTTGTAGTACCTATTTATTTTCAAAGATAGGCAACAAAATTTAAATACCAAAGGAGCTAGGTCGATCGAGCTGTCCACATAAGTTATTACATTTTGATTCTTTAAACATACATTATGCAAAAGCTAAATCTGCCTATTGCAGGTCTTTCTTTAGGCCTGAAATGCTATCTAAATTACTAATTAGACATTAATTAAATTATCCAGACCATAGCTAGCCTGCAATATTTAGCGGACTGAAATACATTTTGTAAAGGATAATTAAACGTAAAAATGGATAATCGAGACTTTGTTTTATTGTACTGACTTCCGTAATGATGATCGAGGCTAGCCTAAAATTCAAAAACCAATATCTAAGTTCAGAGTGGAGCAATTTGACTGAAATTTTCAGCATATTCTATTTATGTTATCTATTTTTTAACTATTATAGTGAGAGCTGTCAACTCATTATCTAATCTCCCATAATGCCCCTTAAAATAAATCAAAAGCAATATCTTTTTACCCTAAACATGAATTAAAAATTAACAAAGTTTTATGTACAGCATGCTCAAAGGCAATAACTCTAGAAATAATTATCAGAAAATGTTGTTATTATACAGACTTATTCATACTTTGTAGCAATAACAAAAACAGGACACGTGATCAAACGGTGATTCTTGTTGTTTAAGTATTCACAAGATTCTCAAAAGTGAGTAAGTGCAATAACTCTGGAAGTTATTCAAGAGGATTCCTTGTGTCAATAATCTGAACAATGTATATAAACTTTGTTGCTTGAAGTGTTCACAAGATTCTACAAAATGAGCAAGGATCATTACTAGTAGTAGTAATTAACAGAACTTGCTGAAATACAATAGGAATACTTATCTCACTAAAGATCGAGTGCTAAAAGTAGACTATTCACAGAAATTATGATTAACCCTAACAGACAAGACAACAATGTAACCATATTTCAATATGGACATTTCAACCTACTGGTATTATCTTATACAGTTAGGATATTAAGATATTAAAACAAATGATTTATAAACTGCTTGCAACATAATTTACCTTTTCCATTTCTTCTACCATATTTATCTTTCGTATCTATAGCCCCACCACTAGGTATACATTTATCAGCCCATTCATCGTGTAACTTTAACGCAATAATTTGTTCATCTGTTAAACCCTGCATGTTAGGTGGTAAAACTATACCATGTAAACTTAAATCTTCTATATCTGCAAAAAAGGTGTAAGCACATAATAAAAAAAAGCTGTTTTGCTTCTTTAGTATTTACAAATATCCCCTGCCTCAATCCCAAGTTTTATGTTATGTAGCATATTGTGTTCTGAATAAAAAAAAAATTAGGTGCACCTTGCTATTTTTCATATTCAATTCCAGTACAGTATTCAAATTTATGTCTGTAACATTCCTACAAAATTAGGTGTTTTCGTAATACGATAGAATGAAAGCGTATCAACCCCTAGGCTACATGCTTCAAATTCACGGTAGTAATATTCCTCCAAAATTACATGTCTTCATTTACACGGCAAAAAATGAAAGCAATTTACTCAGTTAGATCGTGAACTGGTTAAAAGTTTTGCGTACAATTAGTGTTTTGACTACTTTTAATCTCGTCGACCGACATCAAGGAGATTAAAATGTCCATAGGCAGTGGAACGGTAAATCACGTTTGTTAAACATTTTTTTCTCACTTAATTTTGGACAAGAAACTTGATTCGCAGGTTCCCTTAAATTTGATAACTTTCTGCTAATCAAATTAATATTAGATTCACACATACGTCGTTTTTGTTTAGCAAACTGCGATGCAATAATGCTTATCATATTCCCTGCTGAGCAGAGAATGTTCATTATTATATTCTGGAAGACATGATACCTTACAATAATATGCAGTGTTATTTCTAATTCGATATTTCAATTCTTACCTGCACAGAGTCTTTGAACTTTTAATCTACCATTATATATACAAGTTACATCTTTAATAACATCATCTACAGGGGTGTCAACTGGTGTTTCATATAAAAACTGACTTTCGTCGCCTTTCTTGAGATGTATTTTTACCATTTTGTGTGTTTAAATAATATATCTAAAATGGAAAACTTTGTACCAATATCTAGAAAAATATATGTACAAATGAAATTACTGTCTTTGCAGCTTCGCTAATCTAAAATTTCAATATATATGAATCAATGACAATGATATTGAACTTTCAGATATTTAAAGAGTATTTCCTCCCCATTTTGGGATCTCAAAATGGTATATCTCGGTGCATATTTCTCTGAGGTAGTGTCTAATTATTTGATACCCTAAGAAACGCCTGATTTGTAGTTTGCATTGAAGCCTGAAGGAGTGAAAAATAAAACCCACATTGACATATAATATAATATAATGATAATGTGCCATAAAAATAGAGATTTCACTTACACAAATACTGCTCTAGCTCAGATATTTTGTCAGTCAGGTATAAAACTACAGCATACGTACGTGCTTAATAGCAAATATATGATCCTTGTCGATATGTTCACTATAATGCTTCCTTAAGTAAGTGTGGAAAATAAATAGAGCCAAAATCTTGTTTACTTGTCAAAACATGTAAACAAATATCAGCCATACTGTTTCCGGTATACATGCGCGCAATTGTTTTTGTGTCTCGTTTAGCAGGGCGTACGATATTTCGCCACTATTTGATTAGTTTGGTTGATCAAGACTAGTTACGTAGCGACGCATTCTCCAATGTCGAACATTCGAGCATAGTAGGCCTATATGGTAAGATCTATTATAAGGCCAACTTTAAGTTTGGCGAAAGGTCACGAGATGTAAACAGGGAGAGCGCTTACACCAACCCTAACCCTAAACCTGTGGACCTAGCCCCAATGCTTACCCAGCTCTAACCCACGCTCGCCAACAATCACGTGTCCTAACCAGATTTACACCTCAGTGACCTTGACGAAAATTGAGCTGGCCTTAAGAAATAGATTTAGCCATCCAAGAACTGATAAAAATAAGGATAGATTGCCTGACAACGAAAGATACGCCTACAGCAGCTAAGTCGCCCGGCAGTCATTAAGAGTTGTCGCATAATATGAAACATTAATTATAGCCTACACTGAAATCTGATTAGTAACAACTCATTACATTAAGTAATTATCAGAGAATCATTAGAATTTGTTTGGCTTTTAGTTCTGCCCTATATGCTAAAGTTTAATATACGAAACATTAAATATCATGGATTTAGCTGTTAAAGTTATCAAAATTCATTGAAAATCAATATAGGCCTACTTGTTCATCTCAGAGAATCCACAAGATTTTTCAAAGTGATCATGGGCCATAACTCTGGTAGTAATTATCGGGAAGCATTGGAAATCACTGCGCTTCCACGTCTCACGACCTTAAACACTGTTTTTCCCATAACTCTGGCAGTAATTATTGGAAATCGCTGAAAATTAATAGGATTCATCGTCTCATGACACTGTATAAATCTAAAAGTCAATTGGATATTAACTTTAGTCTCTAGAGCGTCCACAAGCAATTGTGGACGCCGGACCGACGGACGGACGGACGGGGGCGACGACGACAATATACGAACACATTTCAGTGTGGGCGTATAAAAAGTTTAGGCCGAATCTATGGTGTTCTAGTTCGGCCACTTACAGAAAAAGCATCCCTTTGCGTCACGCAAACTATAATAATATTGTATATAGATTGACTTCCCTTAGGGAGATTTCATTATTTAAATTAATATGAATCTGTATTTCTATAAGTTTTTTTTTGTTTTTTATGTTTTTGTTTTGTTTTGTTTTGTTTATTATTATAATTTATTTAATATTTATATCCTAATATAATGTTTTTTACATGTTTATACAAACGATAAAATATATAAAACAATTAAATATATTCTAAATGACTTATACACTGGGTCCTTAATTTAGCTGTACGTCCAATATTATTCACCATTCACAGACGCCATCAACTGAAAATGCAATTAACATAGCCCACCTTCCTTCTGTTCAATATTAATCAATGTTTTGAGGAAAAAATAGCCTACCAAACGGCAAATGATTATGAATTCTCCTTGTGCCTGCGCATTTCAGCACCAAAGCTATATCCGTTTAGAAAAAAGTCGACATCGCTGTTTTTCTTTAATAACTTAACATTGAAAAAAGAGAGGCACGACGCGAATTTTGCGGGAAGTGGTCGAAATAGAACACCATACGAATCAGATGTGTTTTTTTTAAAAAAAAAAACTACGATTAAATTTGACCCATTTAATTTACGTTGCAAGTGGCAAACCCACTTGATTTCTTTTAATAATGTTATACCACTAGTCTGATTGTGTTGTCTGATTTCATGATCAATGTAGGGGGGGGGGGGGCTAATGATTAACCTCGTGGGTGTTCTCCGGGTCCTCCCCACTGCTAATGACCACTAGGCTACGCACAAGCGAATTATTGAACAGAAATAAAATGAACCATACGTTTGTCCCGAAATGACATAGTTTACTTCCTCTCCCTGATCGATGTATAGCCAAGGCTAATTCTGACATTCCGACTTACATTTACAAGGGTAATTTTATCCAAAAAAAAAACGGAGTTCAAAACCGCAAATTTTCGGGGACTTATTGACTTTTGATTTTGTTTGCAACGGAATAAAAAAAAAAAAATTATATTTATAAGACCAGCACGAGTGAAAAATCTCCATTATTCTAACATCCATAGCCTAAAAACACAATAATGATCGAGTGTTAATTCCACCTTTCATAAAAAAGAAGAAACGAAAAGAAAAGTATGTTCAGGCCTAATAGGGTCTAGAAATAGCCTAACTGTAAATATCTGAAACCCGAGTAAGTTAACATCTTTCATTGGATTTACCTCCCTTCCATTATTTAGATACTGCTTTCTTGACGAAGTCTGCTAGGAAATATGCTCTCTATATTTCTACACTGCCTGAATCGTATCGCGGAGTGTTAATTCACAGGAGTCTGACCTTCTATCCGTATATATATATACTATTCAAAAAAAGTAGGGGATATTTGATTTTTAAGTGTTATTAAAGTCACCTAATGAAACTGACGAAGAAACAAATGACAAAATGAAATGAAGTTCACATTCATCGATTTATTCCAAATGATCGTTAGACTAAGTAAGGCACAGACTGACCATTATAAGGGTAAAATGATACCCGGGGTCAAACAGCAAAGTTACCACAGCATCACAACCAAGTCAGTAACGGGTAAATCCTCCTCTGTTTGCCAAACAAGCATTGATCCGACGTGGCATACTCCTAATGAGACGTCTAAGGTCATTTTGGTCCAGATTGTCCCATTCCTGTTGCAACGCAGCAGCAAGCTCTTGGACATTGGCAGGACGTTGTTGACGTTGACGTAACCTCTGTCCAAGCATGTCCCAGACATGCTCGATGGGGGAGAGGTCGGGACTCAGTGCTGGCCAAGGTAATGTGGTGATGTTCTGTTGTTGGAGGTAACCTGTAACGATCCTGGCCCTGTGACATCTTGCGTTGTCATCCTGGAAGATGAAACGGCGGCCATGACGTCGTGCGAACGGCACAACATGGACTGCCAAGATGTTGTCCCGGTAGTACTGGCCTGTAACACGCCCTGCAACAACATGTAAAGCCGTTCTTCCAGCAACAGTGATGCCTCCCCACACCATAACAGAACCACCCCCAAATCGATCATGTCTGATGACGTTAACGTCTTGGAAGCGCTCGTTTCGACGACGCCACACCCTCCTACGTCTGTCCAAAAAATCAACAGTGAACCTTGACTCATCTGAAAACATCACATTGCTCCAGCGTCGATTATCCCAGTGTTGACGATCCCTACACCAACGACGTCTTGCCTGAATGTGATGATCTCTCAAACAAGGGATCACGCGAGGACGTCGGGCGCGAAGGTGACCCCTATGCAGTCGATTCCGAATCGTCTGGCCACTCACTCTCACACCAGTGTCTGTTTGAAGACGAGCGCTGATCTGATTTGCTGTGATGACACGATTTCTCAAGGCCAAGGTACGGATAAATCGATCCTGGGCTTGAGTTGTCGCCCTTGGTCGACCTGAGCGTGGTCTGTCCTGTACAGATTGTGTATCACGGTATCTGGACCATAGCCTGCTTATGACAGACTGAGAAACATTCATCGTCCGCGCCACAACCGCCTGTGTTGTGCCGAGCTGTAGCATGCCAAGGGCACGTAACCTTTCATTTTGGGTAAGCCGACGCATATCAAAATTTGTTTTCTGGTCACTAAAACAATTAAACTGATGTTTCCACCCTGGAATTCAATGCCACAATGACTGTAACATTCAAAGTCAGAGTCGTGCAAATCTTGGGTTGGACCCCCATGATGATCCCAAGCATCACCTGCATTCCATGCGGTAGCTATTGGTGCGTTTGGGCGTCACATGTAACTGGAAATGTTTCTTCTGTTAGGTTCTATAGTGACTTTTTTCGTAGTCATTTGCATATTTTAGTATTATGCCCCCAAAACCAAATATCCCCTACTTTTTTTGAATAGTATATATGCATACGCCATGTTGGACATGGTGTATGCATATATATACGGATAGAAGGTCAGACTCCTGTGGTTAATTCCACCGTACTCGACAAAATACAAGGTGTACAATAGCGAACAGACATTCTCTTTTATAAAAAGAAATGTAGGACTTTGTATGCTTTAGTTTAATCTACCATTATAAATACAAGTTGCATCTTTAATAACATCCTCTACAGGTGTGTCAACCTTGTTTCATACAAAAACTGACGTTCGTCACCTTTCTTGAGATGTATCTTCACCCTTTATTTAATGTTTAAATAATATATTTGAAAGGGAAAACTTTGTACCAACATCTAGAAAAATATACGTACAAATTACTTTCTTAGCTACTGTAAACTTCAATTTAATCGTTTTCCTCAAATAAAAGGTACCTTGCACCGAGATATATTGAGTAGTGATCTTTCAGATTATATTGAAAGATTTTTTCCTCCCCATTATGGGATGTCAAAATTGTATATCTATATGTATAATTTGTTGGTGCATATTTCACTGAGGTAGTTTCGATTCTCGAGTACCGTGTGATTTGATTTGGACAAAAACAGATTCAAACAAATTTATCAAAGATTTGCATCAAATTCCTCTGAAAGCATTTACATAGGAAGGAAACTATCCCATACCGCGAGAATCTGTTTTCATCATTCTTGTATATCATGAGACTTGATTGAGAGAGAATCCATTTTTAGCTTGTTGGCCCATTTGTCGTTTAGTCACTGTCCATTTACCATACAGATCGAATCCTGTGTTAATTCCTGGATTATAATTGTCTTCTGCCAACTTTTCGCCGCTTAATAAAATTGCATTCTACTCACAGACATACTTAATAGACTTATTTTAAAAAATATAGATCTACAAGAAACACAATCTATACAAAATATTTACTGCTTGCACACAATTAGAATGGCAATGGCTATGTATCACATGTGGTAAGGCAGAATTTCAAAATAGCCTTACGATAGCAGACCTCAATTATCACCGATTTCAACGAGACTTACAGATTGTGATATGATTAATAATATCTCGGAGTATAGGCATAAATCCCGACCACTTCCAGTCAGCG